CATAGTTATGAAACGTTTTATTCTAAATAAAGCATCCGGGTTACTGTAGCTTAGGAGTCACGGACTTCAGACAACGTGCAGAGAGGCAAGGCCATTTTTAAACCAAGTGTATGAAGTAGTGCTCCAAGACTGACAGGAGGAGCCCTGCCTACGGATGGAAACAGATGCAAACCACCACACAAGAGTTTCCAGCAAATCCGTTCTCCACTCCAATGAGATTTCTCAAAAAATCATTACTGGGAAGTCACTATTTATCAGAGACCCATTCTGAGTAAGGGATGGAGGAGAGGGGCCTGGAGGAAGAAAGGGAGCCGGTAGTCACTGGGTGCTCGGTCCATGATAAGTCATTCACACACACAATCTAAGTCCACCCTCATCACAATCTTATAAGGAGGGTATTATTTTTCCCATGATACAGATGAAGAAAGTGAGGGTCAGAGTATTTAAGACAACATGCCCGTATGGCTAAAAGGTGGCAAGAGTCAGTGCTTGCGTCCAGGCCTGACTTCCAAGACTGTGCTCCCGTAGTTTCCCGTCTCTGTGTGGGGTGGGTGGGGCTGGGGTGAATGCGGACGGAGAACGAGATTCATTTTTGCAGATCTGGAGTCTGAGAAGGCTGTGGAGACATGCATTCAAGTTTGGGGACTGGGAAATTGGGGTCCCATTCTGGTGCTGCCCCACATGAGTTGCCTGACCCTGGACAAGTCACTGTACTTTTCCAAGTGCCAGGTGTCTCTGTCATACAGATGAACATTTAGTCTAAAATGTGATGGCCACTGAAGAACTTTAAGTCTCCTCAGTCTAGGCAAGAAACGTCTCACAGAACTATCAGCGGAATATGACGGAAATCTAGGGAGCCTTCTTGACCACGCTTTCCCTGGCGAGAGAAGGTCATTGCTGAGATAAAGTAGGTGGAAGACAGCAGCCATTTAGGGCTTATCCCCAACTCCTGTTGAGAGCAGAGGCCTTCCCAACACTCTCCCTCCGCCCTTGCTTCCTGTCTGCTAAATACCTGAGAGATGCGTGGTTCCCAGCACACACGGCCAAAGTTACTTTGGCAGTGAATTTGACAAGGCGTGTGGATGCAGAACAGAAGCCAGTCTTACAGCCTCCTACTCAGAATGCCTTCTTTTTTATAAATGGGAACCCACAAACCCTTAGGTTAAAATTCAACCCCAAGTGAGACTCCTCTAAAGGAAGGGAGTGATGGTTTACACAGAGTCATGAGACCAACACAGGAATCAGAAAATACCCCTCACCATTTCAGGTTAAACTATGGTGGTTAAACAGTAGGATACAGCAAAGATTCAGACACTAAGAGATGCAGTGAGAAATGCTTCTACCATGCCCTCCAATGCATTCAGAAAGCCCCAGATCAATAATATGAAACAGGAGCACGCACCGGGGTAGCTATAAATAGGTATGATTTGATGATCAGGCATAATTTTATACAGTGAGATCAAGTCCAAACGATACTGTCAGAAAGGACCTCTGTACTTCTGATTTACTTTGCAAGTGGTTAAAATGTGTAGAAGAGAAAGCAAGCTTAAAAAGTTTAATGAATTGAAAACAAACAAGCATATCCACCATATGAAATTAATCTTGGCATTTATGAAAGCACCCCAAGCACTTGAAATGGAAGGTGGGAAAGTGGAGACAAACTCTGTATTTGTAGAGCCATCACACTTTAACACTAACAATTCCAAAATGCCTTTGATGACCAAAGTCCACACCCTATGGGACTCTTTGGAACCCAATGGTGAGTTCTGCTACCATGTGGCTCATTCTGATTCTAAACAGTGCCGAGGCCGTGAGGTACTCCAGCCTCCAGAGTCACAGTAAAGAATATCACTGAAGAGGAAACTCTTCAGAACCTTAGGGGCCTGGTGTGTCTTGAAGTTGGTATAATCATAAGGAAAGGAAAATGCATTTTAAAACTCAATATAACTAAAGGGTTCAACAAAACTAAGGTAAATGATCATCCTCATGTCCTGATGTCTAATAAAAGAGAGAGGCACATGGGAACACTTCACTTAAAAGACACGGAAACAGGAAGCATCTACAATTGGCAATCAATTGCTGGGATGAAAACGTGGTTCAATGAAAGGGTTGACTGGTTCCCTTCCTTAAAGGACTGTTTTGTTCCCAGTACTCGTCACCCACCAGGCGTATTGCCTGGTCAGACCATAAGTCCTTCAGCATCTCGAGGAGTCTCTTGTCTTGGGGTCTCACTCACCTGACAGGTGCTTCACTGATGCCAAAGACATGGATGGAGCCCTCTCCGTAAGCTAGTAAGAAACACCCGCCAGCAATGCCCTCTTTCCTTCACATCGGTGACCCACAATCACCAGGCATTTTAAACACTGACACCGTGCTCAGGGGAAGAGGGCTTCAAGTCACAAAGCAGGATCAGACAGACCAAGTGAAACATAATTTGGGGGTAAATGGCCTATTAGTAAAATGCATGAAAATGGCAAGTCAACTTAAGTTACTTTCCTTAACAATGGTCAAAAGAAACATTAGGCTTAAAAAGAAAAGAATAGGAAGTTATTAAAAATGGATTTTAAAATAAAAAAACAGATGCTATTCATATTTTTAGTTGAGGGGGACAATGCTTTTTTCCTTATATCTTTTTTAAGAAAAAATGATCAATTCAGCCCAATTGCAATGGAGCTAAAACTTGGAAATTTTGTTTTACTTAGAAATTATACTTGCTAAGGTTTAAAAGAGAAAATTAAAAACAAGCATCCAGGAAGCTGACGGATACTAATGTGTCCAAAAGCCAATTTAATGGAAAACTTTAGTTTACAATAAACGTAAGTGGCACCCAGACCACAGGACCACAGACTGCCTGACACACAGGATACCACAATACATATTTGTTGAATTAATGAACAGATGAATGTTTAGATTTGTCATGCTACTATTTCTTTCTCCTTTTTTCTTAAACCAAACTGCAAACCCTTACAAGTTTCTCTATAAATACCATCTAAAGAGAAGAAAGATGACTGGCATTAAAAACAAGTTAGAATTTTACCACTTACAACCTCTACTCAATACATCAAGGAGGTGAGAGCACTCAGACTTCTCCAGTGAATTCTAAGGAATTTTTTCCCTATAACTTAAAATGATAGACCATATAGAATATCTTGACAACATATGGCCAAGTTTATGCGATCATCTGAGGAGAATAATTTGGTTTCATAAGAAATGCAAATTTAACAGTGGTGCATTAATTCATGCCAACGCTGTTCTCAAGACAAGCATCAGGGACCTCCCACGTGAAATCAATATGTGTACGTCTCCTTAACTGGTATCCCCGGCTTGCTAAGTAAATATCACACTACAGACCGTTTAGGTATTCATTATTCACAGGCAAATAGCCAACGTAAAAAGCGGGCTGGTAGTGTCAAGTGTTTAACAAGTGAATCGATAACTGTTCCCTGGTCTTAGTCTGCCCAGTGAGGGCAAAGACGTCTGACACTTGGGAGGAAAACTCAATCCGCGGCCAAGGTGCAGTCTGTTCACAGCAGAGGTTCCACGTTTACACTGACTCTAAGATGACGTCTCAAGGAAACCTCAAGTGGTATTATGTCTTCTCAGACTTCAATAAGCATTAAAACAGACCCACTCTTTGATACTACTCCTTAGACACCACAAGGCCTGAGATCCCCAAGGACCACACTGGGAAACACTACTCTTTTGGCTCCCAAAGTGTCTGAGGTTGCGGCAGAACTAGAAACATCTGAGTGCATTACGTGATGAGGATCATATAGTTTAATCCTCAAAGCTCCCATTTCTATTGCTTGCAAAGCAAGATTTCTAGCATCTTTTAGTGACCACATGTATTCACAAGCAGTTAATCCCCAAAAAGGGACCAAGAATGGTTCCAGTTTTGCAAAAAACTTCTTTGTTTATTTTTTTAGTGTGAGCCCTGTTAAACACCACATTCACAGCACCAAGCCCCCGAGAATATCATCCTTTGTATGTTAATTTCAGGACTATGGCTACTCCTGTCTCATGTCACAGAGAGCCAATACATCGTGCTGCATCTGAGGTCACCCACCCAGCCTGTCAGCTAAGAGACAGTGAAAATGAAATGAAGAAAAGGAAGTCACTGGAATAAAGTTGGGTTTCATGACTGCTTCCTCAGTTTACACCACATGATAAAAATCACCATCCACAAAGTGTCAGCATTGTCAGCAACAGAGCTCAAACAGGGCTGCCCACGTTCTCCTCTCATCCATCCTAAAAACCAACAGCAAGACTCAACCCAAAGCCACACTAATGATGCTCTTAATGATGAGAATCGAAGGTTGTGACAGATCAAACGTCCTTCCCACTAACAGCAAGAGGGAAAAGAGGACCCTTCTCACCTCTTTCTCATCTCTGTGATCTGTGGGGAGGACACGACTATCATATGTAGAAGTTAACATCAGCCAAACGCACATCTCTGCTGGAAGCACATCGTGCTGGGTTTTAAATGAACCAGCACTGTATTTACCTTCCCTCCAGTCTTATTTCCTGGGTGAAAGGTTTAGTTAACACTTCACCCCAGAAACAATCCACACAAGAAATAGCTTCATTGGGAGGAGAAGTCATAGCACAACCTGCTCTTCCTTCTGTTACTGCAGCTCCCTTCTCTTCAGGGGAAGTCTTGGGCCCCTCTCTTCAGCCCCAGTGATGAGCGTGGAGCCCATCAAATGACCCACAAAGAACAAGAGTTGGGAAACATCCGACTATTATCCCTTCCTCGCTCTCCATCTAAGATGCTCAGTGTGCACTTCCATTCCAGAGCACAAATTCAAGCAGGCTCTCATCACTTGAGAAAACTGCAGTGTCATGTCACACCCGTCCCATGTTTTCTGTTATGAGGGTAACAGCTAAGGGCACACACAGCCAGGATGCTAGAAGCTGCAACACGCGTGGTTCGCCCCACCCCCAGTGCCGACAGAAACGGCCCCCACTTCTCTCTGCCTGGGTTCTTCCCTAGGCCTTACCCTGCCCAAGAGGTTGTCCTGAAGCAGTGTCTCTTGCAGCACTGGGGCCACCTCCTCCAAGCTTAACATGTGGCAAAGGTCGGTGAGTTCCTCCTGTCCCAGGGACCCGGTGCCAGTCGTGTCGAAACTGTCAAACAGCTCCTTGAGTCGGGCCTCATGCTGGTCCTGCTCGGCCTCATCCATCCCATAGCCCACAGCACTCACCTGTGTGGGACAGAGACAAGGACAGGTTGTGGCAGCCCCTCGAGACCTACCGCCACCTCCCCTCGGCACACTGCCCCACCCTTGCCAGTCCCTCCATTACATCCTAGTCCCCTGGAGACCTTGGTGAGGGCCAGCAGGAGGGGTGATACTGCACACCCCCCAGCAAGATCACAGGTCGCTCAGGGAACCAGCCCTGACCAGTGGGGCTCCCACAAGCACTCACACCAGTTGTGGGCACATCCACAAGGCCGTGTCACAGTGGATCCTGTTACCGGAATGAGGGAGTCTCAGAGGCAGAAAAGCACCCTCCCTCCCGCCTGGCCCTTGGCCAGGCAGTCGCCAGTCAAACTCAAGATGGAACACGGTTCTATCTCATCTGGCCCAGGACTTACAGGAGGTGGAAGGCCACTTCTGATGTCCAGTCCTTTCAAATGAACTAACTGTTAGCGCCAACAGACTGCAGGGCCAGAGCTTCCACACAGGCAGCGAGCTCCAGGCACCTGCCCAGATGTTAAGGGCTGGGCGTGACCAAGTTTCTCTCTGACCCTGTGTTGGTAGACCGGAGGGTTGCAGTGAAGAAGCACTCCACGAACACGTCTGACACAAAACCACCTCCCTGTTTACATGAGACCAAATGCCTTTCACACCAGTTCCTCCAACAGCAGCTCAATTAACTTCATTGGCGCAATTACAGGAGGTATGACAGGAATAGTATTCCCCGAGCTCGCTTGAGTCCCGCGAGTCTTAGGTAATCCTTAGTTGCCTAGAGAGAGGGGAAAACACTGCTCCAACCTCACAGATGGGGAGGTTCAAAGGAGCCACAGACCATGTGTGAATCGCACGGAATCTCGGGGTGCCCCCACTGCCCAGACCATCGCACCTCTGCAAACCTGGTGCCTCTGTCTCCCTCCTTTCTGACCACCCCAACCCCAGGCCTTCCATTTTCCCACCTTCCATGGGATCTGTAAAAACAAGCAGTCATCAATAACTCTCAGAATCATTTTTACTAAAAATATACATCAAGTACTGGGTACCTCATACTTTAAGAATGAAATCTGGTTTTTTGATTGCACACTAATTCAGTTTTAACGTGTCGGGTCTTCTAACGAAAGTCTGAAGCCTGCACATCCTTCACCATGCACCTTCACCATGATGCAATGGAAACCAGACACGACATGCCCCTCGAGACGGTGACCTCAGCAGCCGAAACAGGCTTTCAGAACCAGCCCCTTCTTAAAAAAAATAATTAATCTTGCCAATATAATTTTTTTATTGTGATAAAAAACACGTAACATGAAATCTACGCTATTAACAAAATTTTAAGAGTGCAGGACAGTATTGTTCCCTGTACGTGCCCTGTTGTCCAGCAGATCGCTAAACCTGCTTCATCTTGCCTGACTGAAACTCTACAGCCCCCGCACGGCAGCTCCAGCGCAGCCCCAGCCCCTGGCAGCCACCATTCTACTTTCAACAGCAGCACCTTTAACTAAACCAAGCCCTGGGTCAGAAAACTCACTTAGAGGTGATATTCCACAGAGCAGGTCAGTACAACATGGGACACACGCGAGTTAAGGTGGCGACTACGGCCAGCACTGAAAATAAGAGCCTTCTGTAACAAAGCAGTGTTGCTCAAGGTTGTGGGGCTTTCTTTCCACAGACAACTGTTCAAAACACGACAAAACAGAGCCACGACCATCCCAAGGGTTTCAGCAGAACCCAGTGGACTCAGAAGATGGACTCAAATAGCATGGCTGCGTAGCTCGATTCTTACTGGGGCCCCTCATTAAAGCAAAATGAGACCACATTGGTCCAGCCTGCTGGTCTCAGAAGGTCTCTTTTCCTAATTATCAGCGTTTCTGTTACTAAGGTGTTGCTGGCTCTGGCTGCCTTCCCAGGCTGGTCTGGTGGGTTGACTAATCATCATGTAAATGTTTCCCAAATAAGAAGAGTGCTACATAAACATCAAAGCATCAGAGAAGAAGTGCCAAGGTGTTCAGCAAAGCCACAGAAGCTGGGAACAGAGACGAGGCTGCGGCCAGGCTAACGAGATTCACTTGCAGGCGGTCGGTTAATCGCCAGTTAAGAGCTGCTGGGACTCCCCAGGGAGCGCGGGATTTTCAGGGTTGTCACAGCTCTCAGACTCACCTATGAGCTTGACAGTCCCCTGGGCTGTGAGCTGACCAACTTCATAAAAGCCAGACTCTTCTGCTTTTGCTTGATTTTGCATATTTTTTGAAAAACTCAAAAGTGAAAGAATTTGAACACTTCCCCTTTTAAAAATTATTAAGGGGTGGGGATTTAAACATCTAGACCAATGAAAGAGGGCCGTAAAACTCACACGTCCTGAGAAGTCCTGACCCCATCCAAGGCTTTGAATCTGATACGTCCTCATGCCCGGCCCTTTGGGAGGTCATTGGATGTTCACTAAATCAAGCCTCTTTCATTTTACAGCAGCCTCCCTTTTTTACCCCACTATTTTATCTCCCTCCTTCCCAAGACACTGTGCTCAGGAAAACATTCTTTTGAGTGAAGGGGGAAAACAGCCCCACTCTGCAGAACAAGTGATCACACGGAAACATCAAAAGATGTTACATCCGGTGACAAGCTGTCAGTTCTCCTCCAGCACAGAATGCTTTCCCATTGCTTGATATTATTCCCAAATGTTCATCAGTAATTTCACGTGCAAGAATTTTTTCTCCCCACTTGGCAGAAATTTCTTTAAGAGCAAGGTCCACAATTTCTATTTCTTTTATATCTTCCCCCAAATGCAGAGTACGGTCTGTTCTCCACATCACGGACTCGGCAGACGCCATGTTCTGACTTAGTGTACAGAGATTCCTTGGGCGGAAGCTTACCCTGAAGGAGAGCTATACAAAGGAGGATATGAAGACTTTGAAATGCCTATTTCTTCCACAAGCACACCTCCACTTCCCCCATCTGACCGCTTTTCAAAGGCATTTTCAGTCTTAGACATCAGCAAGCAGTAGAAAGCCAGCACTTGTGCCAAACTGTGCCATGTGGAGCCGCCCCAAGTTTGATTCACTGAGTTAGTAATTAAGCCAATGGGTTCACAAACTTTCGCTGCGTTTTTTTGTTATGGCTTGTGACTCTGGAGGAGAATCTGTACTAAAACACTCTCCCAAGTCCCCTTCTTTATAGAAGGAGAATAATAAGCCCCACCTGGAAGGGTTGTCCTGAGGGTTAAAGAGGGCAAGCAAGCAAGGTAGCTAATCCCAGAGAAAGCTGATACAAGGGGGGAGTGGAGAAAACACCTGCGACTTACAAAGGCGGGTGAAGTGCAGAGGGGTAACTCATGCAAGTCCATCGGCCACAAACCTGACCTCAAAAGAGCAAAGCAGGAGCCACAGCACAGAGAGCAAGAATGGACAGGGGGTGCATGATGCGAATAAGCGATATTATCTTACTAAAGGGCAACGGCAGCAGGTGATGCTCAGAGCTTCCTCCATCTTTAAAGGCAAATCACTGATAAACTTAATGTCAAAAAAAGCAGAAAGGCTGAAATATAGCTGGGAGTTCAGAAGAAACTTTGTTGTTTTTGTTTTTTTTACTTCTGAGCATTTACTGAGTCTGGCCTATGCTGAGTACTTCACGTATATGATCTCATTGAACTCTCCTAATTCTTTAAAGCAGATATCATATTCCCATTTAAGAGGCAGAAATTGGGGTTTGGCAATATTTAGCGATTTGTCCAGGGACACAGCACTAATGTGGGGTGGAGCCAAGATTTGAACCCTTGTCTGACTGTAAATTATACTTTCTCAATCCTACGCACGCACACAGAACATGAATGGGACCCCCTGAAACGATATCATTGGCAAATCATGTATGCCCATCTTCATGTGTTAACCAGCTGAAGAGTACCACATACCAGAAACCACACGGACACGTGATGGCCACAAACTCCTCCGGAATGGAATGGGGAGGGGGAGAGTTCCTTCCTCTCTACCTCCCTAGATCCATGTATTGAATAATTCCAGCCTACAGGCACTAGCAATACCCAGACAGAAGCAGCATTCTCTTTTTTCTAAAGTAGCTTTGGGATTTAGGGCGAGGAAAAAATAAATTTTTATATAAAAATGATCATGAAGAGTGCCATATCTTCAAAATGGGCACGGTCTGGGAATTGGTAATTTTTAAATTACTTCTCCAAATACTCAGGTACATCTGGTCTGTGCAATCCCATGCTTTCCAGAGTCAACGCCTTGCTGACACCCGCCAGCAACAGGAATCTTACTCAGAGATGAGGAGAGCTGGGTTCGGAGTGATAAATCCAAATTGCAAAGAACAATTCCAGTTTTGTAAAGCCTGCCACAAACCTGAGCCTCTTTTCACCGTCTACCTTTCCAAACTGTCAGAAGCCTTCAGGACTCCTTTGGAATAAAAGGGCCAGTTCAGGCAATATTTTGGAGTTCTAACTAGGGAGGTTAAATAAGAGGCAGATGCACAGAGCCATTAATCAAAACATTTGCCACCCAATAACCACCCATAATGAGAACTATTCGGAGCATTTTCCTTCCAAATAACTCAAAACAAGGCTGCCAAAATATGCAGACGCTGGTCCATTACAGATCTGTGTTACTGTGCTCCATTCGGCAACCCTGGCCGCCAAAATCACAGCCAAGTGGGACAGGAAAAGAGAGGTGGAGGTGCAGCTGGATAATGAAGTCACCAACATAAGGCCAGCAGGAAGTGGGTGCATGAACTTACGAACCTTCCAGCGTCTAAGGTATAGAAAGGAGCTTGTAAGAATAGCACCCCAGCCAAAGGGGACGTCTGCTCTGGGCCAAAGGCAGTGAAAGGGGGACAAAGTCTGGCAAGAGAAAGGCAAATAATAAATGAGCACAATGCCAGAGCCCCTGGCCCAGGCCTTTCATCTCCCCTCCAGATGGTCCAGCAGCTGAACAGCTATGTGGAATGTCTGGATGCCCCTGTTGACTAAGCCGCCCTCCTTGGGTATCAGAACAGATGCTTTTGGATCTGTGTTCAGACATAGCTGTTGGGGGTCCACAGACCAGGCAGTGACCACCAAGTGGCTAATTGAGTTACTTTATAACTAAGAGGATGAACAGGGACAAACCCTGCTTTGGCAAAGCTTTCCATTCATACCTCTGGCTTTCTCCATTTGGCAAGTCAGAGTCTCACAATGCCAGTGATCAAATTAAAATGTTTCTTTTTCTTCCCTCTTTTCTGCAAACGCTGTAATTTGCCGCAAAGATTTCCAGGCTTACCATTCGGGACTAATTTCAGTATAAAAGGAAATAGTGACAAGAGTAAATTCAAGTTTAGCAAAAGCTTAAAAGAAAAAACAATTGTCCCAATTTACATGTCTATATAGAATATTTCTGCCAAAAACTCGCACTGCTCATCAAACTGATTATGTCAGGGAGCCTCCTGTCTGCTCAGATAGCACCTCACTTCTAGCTGGATACCAACAGCACAAGAGTATCACCAAGAATAAAATCGTGGTATAAGAATACAACACAAAAGCTTAAATGCCACCCCACAGGAAAAAAGTCACACGTATAAATTTGAAAGAAAACAACCACCTTTGCTAAATACACCAGAAACTTTAACTTAACCAAGGGTATCCTACTAGCATTTATTCTAAAACATAAATAACCTTTAGTATTTTACTATTCTGAATGATGTAGCAAACCCAAGCTTTTGTTAGACCTAACAGCTGGGCAGCTTACCCCACCAAGTAGCTAACTCAGGGTAGCTGGAGGAATAAAATCATTAGCCCAGCACATTGTAGACTCAATAATCCATAATCAGCTACTAAGTAAAATTACAGAAGCAGAAAACAAAGCTGCACGCTTGTTACTTTCTTAACAGAGACTGCATATAACAACTTTCACTTCTTGAGCCGTATTTACTCAAATTAATTTAGAATGCCTGCGGCTATGAGGAGATTCCCTGGGGTATAAGTGAGAGGCTTCTCTTCTCACAGTGATACACAACATTTTCCCAACTTTGTTTTTTAAGCATTCGAGCATAAATACTTTGTAATTTTTCCATCCAAAAGCTCAAATAAATGGTTAACTGCTGATATAAATTGCAATAAAGAAGCATCCTAATTTCAAATAAAGTTACTCTCTTGCACAATCCTATCATCATTTTAAAATTCTATCTTATTTGTAAATAGGATAAAAATATCTTTTGGGGAGCTTCAGTAAGTGTCTCTACAAGCCCCTGCCCAACAGATGTAAGTTCAACAGCCAGAATTCAAACCATGTAATTTATTGGCTTATAAATGAATTGGCATCTATAAAAATAAACCTTCTGCAAAGGCTGTGGCTGTTTGAATCCCTCTAAAATGTTCTGGCCGAACTTGCCAACTCTTTAGCAATGTAAGACTGGTAAAATGTATTTCCATTATCAATACAAAATGGAAGCATCAAGATTGGTGAAACATCAGCTTGGAAAGTCATTTACAGTGACATTTAAAACAATTTACTTGAACAACATTTAACTTAATGATAAGAATATTGCCTATTAAATGAAGATTGGCTGTTCAGAATTCAGTGGAGCCCCATTCGCCCCCTCTGTGACAGTTAACATCTTTTGATATCGGGGGTCATCATATATCTGAAATGAAAAAGGAACAGAAAAAAGACACCCACGCCATTCTGAGCAAGCGCCTATTAAAATGACTGATCCTTGACGCTTTAAGGCAAAGACTGCACCTGTGATGGCTTCCTTTCCGTTGTCCCCTGTGAAGGCTTTTCCAGCCTTTGCTCATGCTCAACCCATTTTGAGCATCCGTAAGTCCTACCCTTTGTCTACACTGCGGTTCAGAGTGCTTTCCTCTACAGAACTACCAGAGAGCAGGTGAGAAGAAACAAATCTGCCAATGAACTCCCCAGCCCTTCGCTTCACCTCCCTGAGGACACGAGCGACAGCTGGAGACACGACAGGCTGTTTTCTCCCCTGTGATGTTACTTTTACACAGTCTGGGAATTCGTACAGCCCTTCAACTCCAGAGATCTGCCAGAATTCCAGGTGGGCCACCAATATGCTGACACGGAAAAAAATACATTTCCTTGCAGACTGCCAAGCGTCAGGAAACCAGTAAACAGATATAAATAGATGTTAACGTATTTAAGGAGCCCAATGAGGCTCTTCCAAGGTTTTAAGTGCCTGGCCACGTGCCAGGGGTCGCTATTAGGATGCTGACCCTCAAAGCCACCGGTCAGTCACAAAAGACAACCATGCAATCTGCTGTGATTTCATAAATTCAGGAGTGGAGTTGCAGGGCCTGGCCATCTAAGGAATTCCTGGCCACCAGGAGGGGTCTGTTGCAGACCCCAGAGCATCTAAGTCGCCTAGAATAAGGCTCTGGGAGGACAAGCCCTGCAGCTCCCGTTGGTCTGCACCCTCGCCCCTCGTGTCAGGCCGAGGCCAGGAAGTCGCCCCGTTCCATCTCAGTCCCCCTCGACTTCACAGGACAGCGTTGGGCAGGAGACCGCTTCCGCCGGCTTTGTCCTGTCGCCGGTCTGGGGCTGCAGGAGCGCGGCCTGCGCCTGGAGGCGGCCCCCGCGCTCCATCCGCACGCCCCTGCTCGGTCCTCCGGCGACGGCCGACCGTCCCTGTGTCCTCTTCCTGTTCTCATGGCAGCGCGGGGCAGCCTTTCTGCACGCATGGACCCCACACCCTCTAAAATCCCACTTTAGGGCTCGAGAAGGCTTCCAGCTCCTCAGCCACCCGGTGTCACTCGGTCGCCAGGCCGCCGGGGCGCAGGCGGCGGAGCGGCCACCCTCCCGCTCCGGGGCTCGGGTCCGCCGGCCCCCCGCCCGCCCCCGCCCGCGCTGCCGCCCCGCGCCCTCGCCTACCTGCGGGCCCCGCGCCCGCCGCCTCGGCCGAGCGGGGAGGCGCGGGCGGCGCCGGGCTGGACTCCTCCCGGAGCGGGCGCGGGGCGCGTCCTTCCGGAGGCCGCGCCGGGCGGGGGCCCGTCCCTCTGCGCGCGCCGCTCGGCCCCGCGCCGTCCGGGACCCGGTCCGCCCCCGGCCCCGCCTCGGCCCCGCCCCCGGCCCGCCCACGACTCGCGTCCGCGCCTTGCTTTCCGCCCCCCGGCTCTTGGGCGCCTCGCGGGGACCCCGGCCAGGGCGCGCTCGGGGCTCGAGGCTCTGAGTGGGGTCGGGGCGGGGTGGCGTCGGGATGGGGCACGGCGGCGCCCGGAGCCTGGGCCGCGGGGAGGAGCCGGGACGGCGCGGGCCCTCCTCCCCGCTCCTCCTCCTGCGCCCGCAAGGCCAGTGGCTCGTCCCCTGGGCTGGGTGTCCCCGGGCCGCGGGCCGGGCGGAGCTGGGCCGGGGGCGGGTGCACGGGGGGAGCCCCCACCCTCCGTCCCCTCGCGCTCACACGGTGCGCCCGCCGCACGGTCACGTCCGCGGCCCGCGGGGCCTGAGGGTTCGGCTGCCGCTCGGCCCGGCGCCCCCCGGCCGTCTCTGGAAGAGGGTCCCGCAGGCGGAAGAGCTCCGGACTCGACTCTGCACCCCTGGAGCGAGGGCGACTCTCCTACCAGCTCTACACTGGCTTCCGCACCTGCCCACCGTGCGCTCACAGGCCCGCACCGCATCCATTCTCCGCGGGCGCATCCAGTCCTGGCGACGTCCCCCGCCGCCGGGGACGGAGCTCCCCGGAGAGGGTACTTCTCGGCCCACGACTGCTCGCTATTTGCGGCCTCTCTCTCCACTCCTCCTCCTCCTTCCCCCTCGTCCATCCCCCCTTCCTCTAACCCCTCCTCCCGCCTCGTCCACAGGCTTCCCACTCTCGGCGTTCGCCCTCCGCCATCCTTGCGCTTCTGATCTGGATGCAGACAGGACCCCGGGTGGGGCCCAGAGGCGGCACTGTGGCCGGAGGGACACCCGCTGTCCTCTCTTTGAGCGGCAGTGTCCCTATGTTGCCCTTGAAGGAGGAGCCGCCTGATCTGTTGTAGCCCATAGTCCGGTGTTTCAGCGAGAAACAGGAGAGCGCTCCCTTGCCACTGAAGACACAAGGGATAGCCAGGAAGAGAACTAGCGTTTGTTGAGAACGCAGCCTGCTGGACGCGCGACCTTACCGAATGTAGGAAGCAGACATTTTTAGACCCATTTCGCAGATGAGGAAATGGGCCTCAGAGAAGTTAAGGGGCTTGCTCAGGATCGCACAGCTAGTGCTTAGCAGAGCCGGGATTCGAAAGCAGATCACATATATGACAAAGTTGCATAGAACTAAATGCACTCACACAAATGAGAGCATGTAAGACTGGCGACGTTTGAATAAGACTCCAGGGTTGTATTAGCATCATTTCCTGGTCCTGATATTGTACTACAGTTATGCAAAACCTTACCATTGGGGAAAATCGGGGAAAAGGTCTCCAAGGAATCTCTCTGTATTATTTCTTACAACTTAATGTGAATCTACAGTTATCTCAGAATAAAAAGTATTTTTTAAAAAGCAGATCAGTCTTATTTTAGAACCCAAACTCTCTTCCTGCAACACAGCATGCCTGGAGATAAGAAAGAGGAGAAGTTCCTGCTCCGCTCTCTTGCTTTTGGACAATCTTGGGTAAGTGCACACACACACACTCATGGACTTTATGCATAGTTGTTCAGTCCAGGAATAATTATACAACACACATGCACACTGTTCCTTAAGCAAATAGCTAACCTGGTACCAGGGTACTATATAGGTGTCATCTTATACATAAGAGAATTATCTTCACTGGGGACTAAAACAGCCAACAGTCTCAGGAGGTGAGAATGAAGAGACGTTTCCTTGTTTCACCTAATCTCTGCCAGGGGAGCCTCATCTCACTCGTTCGCTCACCAAGCATCCCTTTTTGGGAACATTTGGGAATAAACTGGATAATAAGGGTGTCTTTGCACCTGGATTGATGAGAAAGCAATTAGATACATCATTACAAAAGCAGCATAAATCTTTGATGTGCATTTTGTTTTCACTTGGGAGAGAATGGGTATGGTTCTCTAAGGATATAATTTAGACATCTTTGCACCAAAATACTGAGGTCAAAGTGATGATAAATCTTATGGCAGTGACCTCTGTGAATCCTATTTCAATCTATAAAAAAATGCCATCTTGGAGGCTGATGTCTTTGGGCTAACACTGAGATCTCCAGATGACATACTCAAACTTTCATAAAAATGTATTTTGTCTGATTCTTGATTATTGAGGTCCCTTCTCCTGACATCGTGCAGCCTGTCTCTGGGTCCCCTGATGGATAAACGAGATGAAAGGAAGTAAAGTCAGCAGAGAGAAAAATTAGTGCCTATTTCTGTGGATCCAGTCACAGGCCACAGTCAAGATCAGGCCAAACTGTGTGTGCATGTGAGTGTGTGTGTGTGAAAAAACACGTAGGTAGATGTGCTGGATAGCTTCTCTTTGTCCCTCCAGATGCCTTCTCTGTCCTCTCTACCTGCTCTATGCCCCAAGAGGCCACCCTGAGGTATTCCTTGTGCCCTGGTGTCCTGTTAAGTTCAGCTGATAAGGTCATCGGCAAAAGGTTGGAGGGAGGAAGGAGCATGAGGTTGGGGTATTTATTTACCCAGTTTGCTCCCTGTAGGGTCTCTGTAGGCTGGCCGCATCCTTTAGGATCACAGCTTCTGTCACACAGCCCTCTCCACACCACTCTGTCACCAGCCCTCCTTTGCCCATGAGGCCTATGGGAGGCAATGACACTCCTGACATCAGCTTCCAGGCAGACACTCTCCTTTTTCCTCTGCACTTGGCCCACTTTTTGTCATTAGTCCCTTTTTAAACTATTCTCCAAAATACCTAATTTTGAGTTTATCCACTATTTTCTTCTGAGATCTTGATTGATAAAGTAGGTTTGCATACATTCCTTGCTTCAGAAACAAAGGCCCCTCTCTCTATTAACATAAAATACCTTGAATTTTTCCATTGCCCAGAATTTTAGGTCAGTTCCCCCAAAGCAGACCCTGAGATGAGGATTTGTGTGCAAGAGTTTTATTAAAGAGATGTTCCTAGAAGAAACCTGTGAGAGAGTGTGATGGGAGGGTCGGGGAGGAGCGAGGCAGGGAAAGCAGACATGAAGACTCTGGCAAGGGTGCAATGTCAGGCAGATCCCAGCCTCAGCCAAATCCTGAGGTGAGCACTGCAGCATAAACCACATCTCAGAGTTTGCCCTGATGGAGACCCAAGGCGCCCAGGCAGAGCACCATCGATTCCTACTTCACATATATCCCCAGTGAATTGAAAGTATTAGGGAGGGGAGACATGCTGATTATTAATTGGCTTAGTAATGGAGTTGTTGGTGGAGAGGAAAAGAGTTACCTCCAGACACCGAAAAAGCTCACGGAAGATGCTAAGGGGACACACTCTTGGAAAAAATACTTCACATAATCAAATACTATTTGCTTTCAATGGACTCAGTATACTTTAGTCTTAGTAAAAATCAAATCAGGGCAGATAGTCTTCTTAAAAAGCAAAGGCATCTTTGTGGGAATCTTAGCCACCAGATGCAGGTACCAGTTCTCTGGTGTGTGTGCATGTGGTTTGGGGGGGGGGGGCGGGTATCAACACTTGCCATTTCCCTCTGAAGCTTCTAACACTTGGAAATTTGTCATAGAAGCTTTTCTCATCTGCAGTTCAAACACTTTTTTCAGCAAGAATTGAGCTGAAGTTGAAATCACCATCTGGTATCTCATATTGAACCAGGTTCTTCGTGTGCCAAGAACGTCTTCTCTTGGCAGTGATGTTGACTGTGATCTTTCGAAAATGTTTCTTGGGTTGGCAGTCTTGACTGAACAGAGCAAGCAGCCTGTCTTGGAATTTAGGAATAGATGTGCTGAGCAAGTTGTTGCCCCAGGAAGAAAAGTGCGAGGTGAAAAGTTGAACCTTAGGTTTTGAAACCCCAGAAGCCATATCTTTTATTATTGAGCCAAAACCAGCTAGGAAAAAAAATCTCAGCAATATGATTATAGCAGCAAGACGTTGCACAAGAGCTAGGAAAGGAGAATTCAATTCAAGCCAACAAATGCTATTTAAACACTTTCCAGGTGCAAAGGGATACCTTGGGCTGCAGGGACGTAAGGATGGTGAGGAAGGGGTCTTGCTCCCCAGTGGTTGACCATCCGGCGGCTGGGCAGAGGGGATAGCTGTCCACACTTAGGTGCACGCAGGCGGACTATGCTGAGGAGCATAGCTGACACCACCCGCCTCCGCCCAGAGGCCCGGGACCCCTGTTACCATTTCCATGAGCCCTTCCATTAGCTCCCGTATGCTCTGGCTTCCAATGACCTGAGCCTATGAGTCTGCTTCAGGGGCTGCCCTTGGGTATCATGTACACGTCCAGAGGGCAGGAAGTACTGAGGAGCTTAGTTCCTAGCCAGTGAGCGCTCAGTGTGGGAGTAATGAAGTCCAGCTCCCTCCTTAGGGCAGGACGTGCACTAATGTCAGGCTTTCCCTATGGATTCAGAGTTACTCCCTCTGGGACTCTGCCTGAACTCACCTGTGCTCAGTCTCTTTCCTGGCTCTGTCCCACTTCCCTCATCCACTTGCTGGTCTCTTCTGGGAGCATTTTCTTAATAAAACACCTCCCTACAAACCCTCCTCTCAGGATCGGCTTCTGGGAACCTGACCAAAGGCAAGCGGCTTAATAAGAATATAAGCAAAATGCTGTGAGAACACAGAAGGAGTGATTAATTCTGCCTGGAGATCAAGGAGGATCCCATAAAGAGAGGCGTGTTTGAACTAGGCCTTGAAGGGTAATTGGGGTTTTGCCAGGCAGTTGGAATTGAGGAATGCCATAAGTCTGGGGAGAATACACACGCGTGCAGGGTAACAGTGGGGAATGACAGGCGGCGAGGCTGCTGTTAGGCTGGCACTCACTGAAGAAGAGTCTTGAATGTTGCTAGAGTTTGGGCTTTTCAAAAATTGGCAATAGTGGGGCACGGTAGGTTTCTGAGCAGGGGAGAAACATGATACATCTCCCTTTTAGAAAGTAACTGAGTGGAAATACAAAGGATGGTTGGAGAGGAAAGAAATAATGGGAGCCAGTTTGGCAGTCATTGGAGTACTCCAGATGAGGACGACAAGGGACGGACTTAGGGCGGTGGCATGAGAAAGAAAGGAAATGTCGGACCTAGAGATGGAGTGACGAGACTTGACTAGCGAGTGTGTGTAGGTGGGAGAACGAGAGTGATCGAAAGTGGCCGAGGTGATCGGAAGGTGGATGATGGTGCCATCAACCAAGACAGAGAACCGGGAGGAGAAACCCACATTGGGGAGAAATCGATGAGTTCCTTTTTGGATATACTGAAATTGAAGGAGACACTTGAAAAAATCCCTAGTAACTCAAAGAAATTTGAATGAAATCTGAAAGTAATCTGAGAATAAAGAACAAACAAAAATTCAGGGGATATTCAGAGACTGGTGAAGTTCTAGTTCAAAGTTAGACCAAAGAGACACTTTTTAAAATTAGCTTTCTGCGTAGGAATCAAAACAAGTTGACAACAGAAACTTGGACAGCCTTTAGAAAGAACACAAAATTCACTGATGACCAAAGAGCAATGCTTCAGTCCAGTATGATTTCACCTTGCTGATTAAACTAGAGGGGAATCTATATGAAGGTTAGATCTGATATATTAACTTTGAATGGCTGTTTGGAGCAACCCAAGAAAGCAGAATCCTTTAACAATGGTGCCGAAAGAAAGAAGAAAAACAGGGGTTCAGCCTTGCAGGCTATCTGTCTAAAGTAACACATTCCTGGGGGAGGGACTCCCGGAGTAAGAGTCCCATCAAGGGAGGCCGCCATCTCCTGGCCCTTAATCATTGCTGTTCATTTGCTTATGGCCTGGCATTGATTTTTTAAAAAATAAATCAATAAGTCCATCTGGGAACTGGCATCTCTTCATTGCGTTGACATTTCAAGTGGGACACAATTGGAAGAAAAAGCACAAGTCTGAAGTCTTAGGAAATGTTTCAGTTTGAGGAAAAGTCTACTTTGTATAAGAAACATTGTTTCAAAAGCCAAAGTATTATAGGGCAGCAGAGAGGCCTTGCTACTCTGTAACAGTGTTACATTTAAACTCTTCTCTTTGAGAACTCTTAATACTGACTACCTACACTTCCTGTATCCTAGGTAAAATCTTGTAGATTTCAGAAGCCCAGTTACCCATGGGAACAACAGAGGAAGAGAAAGTGGAAAATATAGGGGCAAGAGAAAGCAGACTTTAGTCGTGTTTATTCCTTCAATCTCTCTTCCGCCCTCCTTCTTTGCTTTCCTCCCTTCCTCCCTCAGTCCTTCCTTTCCTTCCTCCCCCACTTCTAAGAATACTTGAGGACCTACTGTGTGCCAGGAACTGTACTAGGAGTTACAGATACCATACTGAACAAGGGAGGCATATATGATCTCTACCCTCAGGGAACTGAAGTCTATCATACTGGATTTCAGATTCTACATGTAAATAAAACATAAC